TGCTTGTGAAAGGAGCTCTCATTTGGATACTGATCTCGGCGTAAGTTTCCGAAAGGCCCGCGGCCTCGATAATCCAAAGTCCCCATGGAGAGATCCTGAGGCAGTGAATGGCTCGTTACATCGAAGATGTCTTCTTCCGGGGGTAGATCGATAGTAAATTCGGTCTGTTGATTTAACAGAATACTATCACTCGCCCTTGAATCGGGCCGCTCATAAGGGGGCAGAGAGAGTTTCTGAAGCTTGCTAGTGACTTGCTTCAACGCTGACCGTATGACTTCTGACGTAGCGTTACCTTCCACTGTATTGGCTCGTGAAAAGGTGATAGGTGTAATACCCTCGTTGCGAAGGTCCTCTAGCCCAGTTGCGGACCTCATCTGAGTTTCGTCCAGAGTAACAAACGAGCTATCGTTGAGGGTTGAAGGGGGTTCCTCGGGATCTTTCGGCATTTCCAATGTTGCATTAGGCGATCCTTCCGGGCTGTCGCTAGGATTCGCATTCACTCGCAACTGCGAACTAGGCCCTAGTAGCCTATCTTCATCATTTGATGCATCCGGAGCATCGTTCTCGACGGTGCTCTGCGCCTGCGGCGACATCTGTGGGCTTGTACCGGGGTCCTTATCCGAGGGGTTACCGAAATCCCACAAGTCGTCCCGTTGTTTCATCTTCGGAATCGCCTCATGCTGCGTCTTCTCAGATCCTGGTGTCGGAGGTTTAAAAACGCCTTCTAAGCCGATGGGAGCAAACAAATCGCGCTGCTCTCCGGCGGGTATCTCGCCCCGGACCAGCCTTTTCCGCCATTCGGGCGTACCCTCTTTAGCTTTGCCCTTCTTCGGCTTCACCTGCACTGTACTTTGTTGGCCGGATTGCGTGGACGCATTGGATACAGATCGCAGGGGTGACCTGGTATCCATGGCCGGTTTCTGCTTACGCGCCGAAGGCAGAGCTGGTTTCGGGGTTTTCTTCGTCTTGTCCGGCGCGGGGGATCGTAATTTGGAAGGGGTCTTGGGGGTTCGCGGAGTTTTGGGGGTCGGCGGTTCCCTTCTCACAAAATGGCAGGGACGGGATACCTTTTTCTTCTCAGCGGAGGATGGTTCAATAGATCGGCGCGTGGGTACAGGAATGCGACTAGGAGAACTCGGTAGGCCTTGTGAGCTCTGTAAACTCGTGCGACGGGAATGATTTGTGGACCGCGTTGGCGCCGGGCTGGTAGGAGTTCCTGGGACAGGCACCCAGTCGTCTGAGAGGTTGTCGAGCCATGGTTGGTTGCTCATTGTCGGTTTGCTTTATGACCGCAGTGTTCGCGCGTCGCGATCCCACAGTTGCAGTGAATGCAAACAGAGAGGTAATAATAACATGAGACCCCACTCATGCAGCTGCAATATCCGTCAAGGAAGGGGGGAACCTTAATATATAATTAAACATGGAAGTACAGAAGGGTTGGGGAGTAATCTGTTGTAGCATAAATTCTGGTTTTATTATTTGAAGTGGAGTTTGAGGCACTTGGATTAACAAGCAGATCGATAAGTTAGTTAGTTTTGGGTGGTCCGGGCAACCCCAGAAGTATACCTTAAAAAGAATAGTTTCCACTTGTTCCACCAACAACTCTTGATGGCGGACGGGTTAGGGGATTTAGGATCTAGAAACGAGGGGAAAATAAAAAAAAAAAATAAAAAAAAATGGGCTAGATAGATCATTCTCATGCGCATCCCTCATATATTAATTTTTGCTTTTTTTATTTGGTGCCCCTGTCCATGTCATCACTCGTGCCTTACGTCGGGAAAATTCCGTTATAACCCAAAGCAGAAGCCATTTTATTTTCTGGTAAAAACTAAGGACGTATGTTACATGCAACCACTGGTGCAGGCTATGAGTTGGCAGCGAAAAAGCTGAATTGCTGAAGACCAATGGAAGTGAGGAGCAGAGGGATTCCTCACCCTACTGGGCGGGCAACAACCCGCTGCAAGGCATCAAAATGGATGCCAGGGCTTCAGGTGTTTCGGGCAATTTGGTAAACACGAGTCGGACATTATCAGGACCAAAACATGCGCATGTATTCTTATTGTTCATCAATGCCTATTGATTTAATGTTTCCACTGGAAATGATGCCGCACCCTTTATTATTCATGGGTTGTCTTGATTTTATTTTATTTGTTATTTTTCCTCACTCATTCTATCGATTGACTTTCGATCAATTAAGGCAGTCCCGCCATTTTTGGTCAATTTGCAAGTCAACCTTATCCGCATTTGGGTTAGTTGTAGGTAAGATGGTCGGGCCTTCAATAATCCAGCATCCACCACGTTGCTGCGGGAATCAGTGGGGACGCGTTAAGTGGTTTGCTTCGTGTGACCACACCGGAACTTCCATCAGAGCTGAGAAAAGCTTTGATCTTACGCAAATGGAGCTTTATCGGTCCAATACAGTACCCAAGAACCCTTTGTTGCAAAAGATATGAGGATCTCTCGGCCGCACTCAACCATCAAGTCCTCGATCGCTCAAATGCAGTCAGTGTTTGACTGCTGCTGCACTGTAAACAATCATACCCATTCATGATCTCATCCCACCCAGATGCCACCTCGTCGACCGGTGTCGCCGCTTAGTCTGGAAACATGCTCTCCGCCAACTTCCGATCTAGGCAACGATGGTCTTCTCGGTTCCGACGATGAGCTCAATGACGAAGAACGTGCTGCGCAACGTCGGAGGATTGAGAAACTTGCCGAGTCATATCTCCAGGGCAAACCCCTCTTCATCCTCTCGGCTTCGCTACGGGGGCGCTTTGACGAAGGCTGGGTGAACCCTTGGAAGGCCAATAGGAAACGAACGATACAGCCTGGCCGCAATACTATACGGCTGCCCAAAGAACCCGAGATCCCAGCGAGCCCCGTAATACATGAAACAAACTCTCGGAGACGAAGAACGTATAAGGAGCCCCAGGAAGTCAGCGAATCCAGACCACCCACTGTCGCTCCAGATTCGGATATACATGTCTCAGGTCGCAGTAGACATGCTTCTGCTCGTCTCGGTCGTTCGAGTGATAAACGTAATACCAGGTCGGTTTCTCCGAACACGCCTCGGAGGTCAATACCGTGGACGAGACCAGTCGCTTCGAATGCACAGTTGCAGCCTTTCAGCACTTCGAGACACACCAACGAGTCTTGGTTGAAGAAAGATCGGAAACAAATTAGCTTTCAAAGTGTTGAGCCGCCCACATCCCCGACAACAACATTATCGTCCCGCTACTCAAGCAAGAGTCGCGCCTCCAAAGACGCTAAAATAAACAGCCAGACTACATCATTTGAGCACAAGGATGGATCCTTTTCAGAACGGAGCACATCAAGTTCCCCTGCACAGGATGGCCCTGATCCTGAACCTCTCGATGTCAGCCGTGTTCCAAACAGCGTCGCCTCTTCCCCTACCAAGGAGCAGCGCCTTCCTAGTCTTGGAATAGAAGGGACCACCTCTAGAGCAATGAGCCAAGGCCCTTCATTCTGTGTCCTAGCTCCATCGTCACATCTACCGCAGTTTGAGTACCGTCGGAGGAAGCCTCGTGGTTCAAACGAAACAGGAGGCTCCAAATCTCCCATCACCGGGAATATGGATGCTGAAGAAGAGCCACGCCTAGCACATTTCGCAAGAGGTACCCAACATCCGGAGCAAGAGGCATTATCTCCACAAGATATGCTTTTAGCTCATGCCAATAGACATAACCGGTCCCAGGCCGACAAAAACCCTAAAGACCTTTTCATTTCTACCAGTACTACCAAAGCGATTGGCAATGTATCTATTTCTCAGTCAGCAAAGTTCCGATCTACAAGCACTGTGAATAAGGGGAACACTAGTGAGAGGTTGCCGTCAGCTCAACAAGTGCGTGCAAACCCAACCATGACAGACATCACGTCTTTGCATTCGATTGCAGTACCAAGAAGCAACTCGGAGTATGACGGCGACACCATCCCGGATCTTCAGTTCTCTACTCAGGCAGCTCTCCTTCACGCACAGAGGTCGTTCCAGAATGACCTCGATAGCCCGGAACATGATTTAGCATCTCCAGAAAGGCAGCATACGCCCAATTCCTCAAACCTTTCTTCACCTATAGCGAAGGATATCACTCCTTTCCATCGACTCTCAACACCCAATAGAGCTGGAGGGAGTACGGGAGCCAAGGCACCTATGACTGCCGGCCAGTGGCAAAGCACCCAGTGCATGATTGATGCAGTTACGCCGTTTACCTTCAGTACAGAAAAGAAGCCAAACCGTCGGACCATATCCCCAGTGAAGCACTTGACAGGTAGAAAAAAATTGAAAACTGCCAGCTTTAAGCTATCATCACCCCCCTCGTCAGCCTCTAGTGAGGCACATTGCGAACAGGACAATAATTACATACACTCGAGTCCTGTTCCCCGTCAGTCTCCTGGGCATGAGACACAGCATAGTGTCCTTCCAATGACATTAACGGGAACAACGCCACCCACGGCTCAGGGAGGGCAGCAGGATTTCCCAGGTGCCGACAGCTTTAATCTTGCTCAGGCGATCGCTGATGCAGGCAGCTGGCTACAACAGAGCTTTGACCTCAACAGGGATCTCAGATTGTGTGAAACTTCTAAGTCAGGTCCGACTTCTTCGGCTGGCACACGACGATCTGTAATGGGCATGGATGGTAAAAAGTGACCTACATCCGAGGACAAGCTGTAGAAGTGTTCATACTCTTGCACGCATTTTCTTAGATAAAGAACATGGTGGAGCTGGTCTTCTCTCAGGGTGATAGTCCTCCGTGTCGCTTTGACCTTGTTATCTTTGGTCAAGGTATCTCACCTATGACGCATTTACGATTTGATATTTTGTGGATAGAACTATATACCCTCACTAGCTAGCAATTCTTTAAATCGCATATTGCCAAATGGTCCAGATATACAGCCTGACTACTGTAATAGAGTACGCTTATATATGTAGTAACTGGGATTTTATATTGTATTTGACAGTGCCTGTATACTAAAGATGGTGTTCAAACAACCCTCTGCGCACGAATTAACACGGCAATCGTCGAACCCTCCCGGACTCTAAACTCCTCATACCCACAAGCCCTAAGAATCGCCGAAATCGCATACGAATGGACAGTCAGAGAAATAAACGGACTACAATCTTGGGTAAAAATCTCCTCAAGAGCCTTCTGCTTCCTCGCAACATGTTCCTCAACAGACTCCCACCGATCTGGTTTCCACAGAAGATCTTCTTCTGAGAACCCAGGCTCAATTAAGTAAGAAGGATACTGGCCTTCAATCCATGTCCGTGTACTTCTCTTATCGCACGTATGATCTGTTAAACGCTCCCTCAACAGCTCCTTCACTACAGGCTCAAACTGCTCTCCAAATTGTCCCATAGGTTTAGAGAACACGAGCCGCGTAGTCTCAAGACATCGCGCCAGGGGACTCGTGTACCGCGACCCTGGAAGTGGTACCTTCTCTGTAGTCACAGCATCCGCCCAGAATCGGCCCAGTACTTCCGCTTGTTGGACGCCATCTTCTGTGAGCTTTGCATCCACCCAAGAGATAGTACCATCTCCGTCGAGATGGGACCAGTAGTTCTGATATTAACATTATTAGTTACGTCGTAGACTGGATGAAATGTGGAAGAGCGATATTATACATTCCATGCTTCTCTGCCGACCTTTGCTTCAAAGACATTGTGTACACCGAGCCCGTGTCTAGTTAGGTAGAAAACCTTGTAGGTCACGTTGCCTGAATTTTCTGCGTTTAGTTGGTTTATGTAGGCTGCGAATCGTTCCCACGGCTTCTTGGGTTCTGCGTCGAGCTTGGTACTGGTTGGTTCGCTGTAGGGTTGGTCGATAAGGCCGAAACTCGGTTGGGTTGTTACCTTCGAGTCTGGGCTTTGTCTGGCGATTTCATGGTAATTTACGAAGAACTCGGGCATGAGTTTGAACTTGTAATGAGAATTCGCGGCTCTTGAGTGATCCATACTTAATGTTCCACGTATAGGGAAGGCTAACAATGAGAGGTTGACAAGTTGCGTACAGCACTTTATAATATACTCAGGTCTCGATATGCAACTGAAGTGTCACGACTATTCCTACTAGTGGACTTTGCCGTTTTTGGTATGGTGTCAGATGCGCTACATCCAAGATGCCATGTCATGTACATGTGTTCATGTTCCCCTACATGTCTCACAAATACATTTCTCAAATGCTTAACCTTGAGCTATGAGTGGATATCGGCCATGAGACTTTCTTCAAAATTGGTATTCTTATATAAAGCAGTAGTACGGTACATTTGTCTATTTGTCTTGACTCAACGTACATGGATAGTAGCTTGGATCCCTTGTTGTCGCATATACCCTACTATCTGGCCCAGTTGTTGATCTGCAACACTGTCGACCACGGCCATAGAGCTACAGCCCGGACCTAACGTCCCATAACCCAATGATGAATCTCGTATCTGAACATATCGTGACTCTTCATGAATCGGTCCCATGTATGACGCTGAGATTTGGGAGACGTTGTCGCTATTGCGTGGATCAGCGCTCTGTTCAGTACAATCGTTGCCACATATGGCTTGGTAATCGCTGGTGGGTTGCCCAAATGGTGGTTGATAGATATCAAGCATCACAGAATTCTCATGTGGAACGATGGTGGGGTTCAATGTGGTCATTTCTTTCATGACTTGCTGGCCGAATATGGTCACTACCTGTGGAAGTTCAGGCTGCCATGGAACAGGATTTTGCTGCCAGCAAATCGACGTTTCACTGAGGCAAGTTAGCCAGAGATTATGGGGGCAAAAGTCATAAGAAAGCCATTACCGGTTCCTGAGTTCAAGTATTGATCTTCCTGCTAGCCCCTCCTGGGTGTAAGATTGAGGACCAGAGTGAGCAACTACATCTGGCAGCTTCATATCCTGTGGAGTACCTGTAAGATGACGTCTGGCAGTTTCGCAATGGATCCGGCCTACGTCCGTCCTTTCCCGGCTTCGGTTGACAACGAATGGATGGAGAGTTTTCTCCCAGTGCTCCGAGCATTCTTTTGTCTCGTTATTTGTGTGGGCACTCACTCTGTATATCTGTTTTGGGGAAGAGACACTCACGGTCAGGATTCCTTGTTTTGACAAAGAATGAAACCTCGTTCCATCTAACAATCAGTGGGCCTATGTCCTTGAAAAAACAAAACGATGAAGTTGATAGCACTTACTCAGGTCCGTATATTGCAACAGCTTCCCTTAACCGCGTCTCTTCATCTGGTACCCAAGGCCCTTGCACCCAGCGTCGGTCGATCTTGAACCATCTCTTGCGGCAATCTCTGTTCGTCCTCCCTGGCAATGACTGTGCGACCAGCTTCCATGCGATGGTATCTTTTCTGGCTTGCTTGGGGTCCGATGGAAGAGACTGGCCTTCCCCACGGATTGTGCAGGCGTGGACGGTCTTGAAGAGAATTCCATCTTCCTGAGCAGTCCACCTTATAGGTGAACGTCTGCTTTTAGAAGGCGGGCTTTTGCTTTTTCTTGCCATTTCTGGATCAGGACTTCCTAGCAATGCGCCTTTGTGGAATTGCAGTTGACGAAACCCTCGATGGTTTTGATGAAAGACCACGTTCATTACCAATCTTCATGTGCTGCCAGGAGATACTAGGAAAAGGAATATACCAGCATAGCTATACGAACCTAGTAGTTCGCCAACCTCGTGAGGTAATACGTCAACGCCACCACGCTATTATCTGCCACTGTATATACTCTCATACCGTGTGATCGAAATTCTAGAACTGACAGAAGAACTTTTGGTAGAATGCTGCGCCCATGGAGTCTCAAGTGGACCGCGTGTTTTATCGGCCAATTCTATAAGGCTCACGCAGGTACATAGGCTACGGAACTGTCTAGAGGCCACTTTCAAGTTTCATTGAGACAGGGGAGTCAGCTCCTTCGTCATGCGCTGTGATCATACATATCTATTCATTGGTGGGTGTTTTCAAACTGCACCCTCCCGCTGCCTACCACTTATCATTTACCAAAGTTAGTCACCTTGCAGCTCACGTATTTCAGAAAACTCCGCCCAACCCTTCTCCAGGGGCCGGAAAGAGGGCTGAATGCCTAATGTTAGAAAACGGGCACGTTGAAAAACATACTCAATGATAGCCTATCACCTGCTCAAACCGTTTATAGTTTGGCATTTAGAAAAAGGCGCACCGTGAGACTAGCCCAGCCATGCTCCTGGGTAGACTCACTCTTTCTCGTATTCGTGAGACATCGCCTTCCACGGTTCTACATAGATGTCCGGCGCTGCCACGAGCTGAGAGACTCAAGGTTTGTTGGTTCCAGAACCCATAGGAAGGTTTCTTTTTGTTCTTGGAAGACGCTAATCTCGGGTACATGCATACCTTGAGTACCTAAATAGCCATTTTCTGTTCAACTTCCCTAATTTGACGCCGGGGTTGCCCAACCACATTAATCAATCAATCGATTGTGAGGGTTGGAATAAGCAGATCATTTGTTTCTCCAGAAAATGAAAGGCTAACCATTTGAACAAACAGCCCTGCTCTAAGACCTCTTCGGGTCCTCTGACAACATACTTCAGCGCGTCAGCCAAGGAATGGAATTATGATACTGTGAAATGCTATAGACAAGGAACCAGGATTGATAATGGATACAGTTCTTAATCAAGTTCCAGGCCAGATATTCTAGAAGAGTGATCAACCCTGATACGAGGATGTCACTGCGTTGAGCGAATACGGGATTGGCAGCCACAGGGTACAGGATCTATACCGAAACACCATATTCAAACATAATGTTTCGAAATCTCGGAATAGAATAAGCAACGCGGTCTAGCTATATTAATGATATCTGACACGGGCTAAACGCATGCCGAGATCAAATCCCGAGGCCACCTATGTCAGGTTAGATTATGCCTCACATTGCCACCAGTGTGCATGAACGCCCCCTTTACCGAAAGACGGAGGCCGGGGAAGTACAGCAAGTAACATATAGAACCATCGCCTGATCTCAGGAGATCAGGGGATGGTTCTGCGGTGTAAGGCATCCTTCGTAAGCTGGACGAAATGCCTGAAAAGCAATATGACCTTGAACTGACTATGGTGGACAGCAATGCCATTTGGTAGGACAGAATAAAAGCAGCTAAGCGTATTATCCATATGAATACCCGCTACCTCATATAAAGTACGAAGAGGTAGGGTTAAGTATATATGGTCCATTGTATAAATCGTTCGGCCAATCAGAAAGACTTGGCTTATAGCACTTTAGGAAGGCGGTCTATTGAGCTTACGGAGGTTCTGCCTTGTAAATCCTTCATTGCCTAAGGTTCGTACTGCGCTGGACACACGTACGGTCTCCCGTAGGAGCTATACCCCCACTTGACAGCCACTCCATATGGGCTAGACTGATTGATTCCAATCGATAAGTCATTCAGAGGTACCTCCAACCTCACTCCGTATCTTATTCCATATCGCGCCACCTTGATTACCGTGTTGTGTTTCCACACCTCATACCCACATTCTCTACGTCTAAGACTTCTCCTCCAGCTTACCTACCATCATATTGGCCTAGTGAAACCTGTTGTGCGGGGTAGACAACCATGGCGGACCGACAGGCAGTCCAACAAAACCTCAATGGTCTGCTCTCGAAACTGGATGATCCAGATCCTGACATGAGATACATGTCGCTGAACGATCTCCTGGGAATCCTCAACAGCCCCACCTCTGCATATTTGGCTCACGATCAGTTTTCCTCGTCACGGCTGGCCGACGGCTTGCTCAATGCCTTGGATGATCAACACGGCGATGTTCAAAATCAAGCACTAAAATGGTTAGTCTATGGTGCACGCCTTGCTCCTTGTGCCTGGGTGGAATATTTGGCTGACTCTAATTATCAGTCTGGGTCCACTTGTGAATCGACTGCCTTCCGAAAGCCTCACTACCATCCTCGAAAAGCTCTCGAACTTGACAGCATCCCAGACCATCGATACCTCAGTTCCTAATACCGCTCTACGCGTCATTGTCACGGCCCTTCCCCGCCCGCAAGCTGGGCAACCACCTACGCCAGACATTTCCATAGCTTACTCCTCTGTCTCCAAAATTCTCATCCCTCGGTTGACCGGTCCTACACCATCTCAATCTGGTAGAAGGGGCTCCGTCATCAAGGGCATGCTAGAGAAAGATACTTCTAAGGGATTCAGCAGCGATGCGATTGATGTTTTGATTCAAGTTGTCACCTGCTTTGGACCACTTCTCAAGGAAGCCGAGTTAACGGCTCTCCAGAAATCAGTGATGTCTATCATCGACAATGACACAGCTGGTACCGTAGTCACGAAAAGAGCGCTGGCCGCTATTTCCGCATTGGTGCCACATTTCTCAGAAGTTCAGTTTAGCTCGTTCGTCGACGAACTCGTCAAGAGGTTCAATAATCCACAGATTAGCGTCGTGCACCGAAGGCACCTCATTGCCACAGTCGGTAGTGTCGCAAGGAGCAGCCCGGCCAAGTTCGGTCCTCATCTTCCGACACTCGCTCCGTTTGTTTTTGCTACCGTTGGTGAAGTTATCGCGACTTAGAATACTAGATACAAAAAGATTAATGAAAATAGCTGAATGATTTCTTCGGATACCCTCCGTCGCACTTCCATCTAATGACCCAGTATCTTTTACCCGCCATTTAGCGATCCCTAGCATTTCCGACGAAAACAGTGGCTTCCGGATAAAACTCAGATAACGGTATATTAACAGGTAGGATCAATGAAAGCTTCTGCTATCATAGGCTAGCTCTACCAATGCAGGAGAGATCAGGACAATATTACCGTTGAGCTTTTACGACTTTCCGAGTATATAAGGCGATCGAGCTATATTATTTCAAGTCTAAGGGTAATCGATTGGTGCTGTGAGCTAGAACAAGGACGAATTATTGCCAGCTGAAAGGTGTCATTAGGAGTTGGAACATCATCCCTGCTTTTTATATATATCCGGAGTTGAGCTTTGAGTTTGTTGCTAAACGTTAGCACTCGCAATTGTTGAAGACTTGTAATATACTGCCAGGTTACCTCATTGAAATGCTTCCACTCCTTTTCACCTCCTTTATTTTCTCCTATCTTCCCTTTCTTGTTGTGTCTCTTTCTTCATTTGGTGATACCTGGCTCCACAGAACCGGGTAATAGCATATCCTTGGAAAGTCTGAATAAGAAAAAGAATGGAGCGTTCTAGCTATTGTCTCTATCTTCGGAAAGCCAGAGATTGGATAATGAACCAATCTAGATCTGTAGGTGAAGAATATCTTTAGAGCTTTCGTACGTTTTATTTACGAACTTACGAAAGCACCTAGATGGCTTGTTATAGCACTCATACAGTATATTCAACAAGACATTGTAGTGTACTAATGAAATACTATAGATACACTACAGGTGCCGTAAGCAAAACTAGGTATTGACCGTGAAAATCCCTAGGCCAAAAATGAGGCATGATTGATTAATCTTGCCCACGTCTTGAGGCCTGAAATAACAACCTAATGAATGCGCTGAAAGTGGGCATTGTCGAAGGACAGTCAGATTCTAGGTGGACTTCTGTTTTCATTTCTCTCGTTCTATGCAGGGTACACGTCTGCATCGCAATGGTGCCACTAGTAATTTCCAGATTATGCTTGAAAGGGATACCTCTGTAGTCACAACTTCTACTCGAAAATCCGGAGAGAGTGAAAGCCGCTAGCCTTCGAATATCCAACCTGGTGGCTCTTCGCACCTGCCATTTTGTCAGGATCATGGTGCACCTTCCTCTGGGAATGAATCTCGCAATGGATGAGCACTCATAGAACGATCTTCCATGTTGATTTCCTTTCTCCACCTTCTCACTACTCTCTCTTATCCCAAGCATTGCACCATATACAAACCCATCTCGTCTTACCGTCTATATTATCAGATACATCTCACTTATCCTCAGCTGGTACCACCTCGAGAATGCACTTCAGTCCATTGATGATCATCGCCAGCGCCATAGCAGGCTCAGCTGCGCATGTTACCCTTCAGCCAAGCAGTAAGCACGACGAGAATGATTTGATCACTGGTCTTGACTGGAATGACACTTCTCCTGCTTTGGTGGAACGCAACTTTCTGGCCCGATGCGGCCTTGGCTTCGGCAAATGCTCTGATGATGGTTGCTGTTCGACTGCAGGTTAGTCTTTCGCTTTCGCACAAAGAAGGCCAGGTTAACAAGACCTAGGCTACTGTGGGAAAACCAAAGCCCACTGCCGCTCTCCTGATTGCCAGATCGATTACGGCCACTGTGATGCTCATATGACGCCTGACGGGCCTCCAACGTCCGGCATCCCTCGACCCAAAGTTGGCAAGGTTCCATACGGTCCCAAAGTTGTCCGGTCGTGCGTTGGTGCAGGAAATATTGCCTTAACTTTTGACGATGGCCCGAACAAGTACACAGAGGACCTCCTCGATTTGCTGGACAAATACGATGCAAAGGTGACTTTCTTCATCACGGGCAACAATAACGCCAAAGGACCCATAGATACACCAGGCATGCCCTGGGCCTCGATGATCGAACGCATGTATCAAAGTGGACACCAGATCGCCAGTCATACCTGGTCGCATCAGGATCTTAGCAAAATCACACCAGAACAACGTCGGATCCAGATTCTGTGGAATGAGGTCGCACTCCGAAACATTTTGGGCGGCTTTCCAACGTACATGCGTCCTCCATATTCCAGCTGTACTGAGAAGTCCGGCTGTCTGAAGGACATGGGCAATCTCGGCTACCATGTCATCCTGTATGACATTGATACCGAAGATTATCGCCATGACAGCTCCAGTGCCATCCAGGGTTCCAAGGATATTTTTGACAAGAACCTGGCCCGAGCAAAAGCATCCCATAAGTCTTGGCTGGTTATTGCTCATGATGTGCACGAACAGACTGTTTATAACCTTACGGAGCACATGGTTAAGAAAGCCTCCAAAGATGGCTATAATATTGTGACTGTTGGCGAGTGCCTGGATGATCCCGAAGAGAACTGGTATCGTATGGATGAGAGTTCTGAGCTTACTATTCTTCGGAAGACCAAACCCCTCGCTACTGCCAACCGTGTCATTTCGCACGATGGTCGCTGCGGTGGGAATGTTACCTGTCGGGGGTCGAAGTTCGGATCCTGCTGTGGCAAGAATAACTATTGTGGGAACAGTCCCAAGCATTGTGGGTTTGGTTGCCAGCCTAATGCTGGCCATTGTCAGAAAGCTAGACATACATCCACTGTTCACAAACATGGACCTGAAAAGCGTCCTGCAACATCCGATGCGGGCTCTTTGTTGCCACCTGGATTGAGCGTTGTGGAATTGGTTTTGTTTGCAGCATTAGCATCGTCGGCTGGAGACCTTTTGCGACTTCTTGTATTCGCACTTATACATGAAAGCTTGGGATAATGGTTATAAAGTGATTAGTCTCCATACTGGCTTGTCAGCGTGTTCCTTTGTAGGTAGTCAGCTTATTCTTCCACTAATACTCTGGTTGTCCGGATACTGTTTAGGATTGACATGGTACACTCGTTCGTTTATGGAGAATGCAATTCGTAACTCATTTCATTTGACATTACCACATCTCGTACCATCGCCGTGATTATATCATATACAGGTTAAGGAAACACACATGCTAATAAGACAGTATAAGCAAGCCGGTCGCCGAACTCAATCCTATGATTCGAATATAGTAGGCAACCGAAGGGTCTTCAAGAAGATGGTTAAACACGCACTTTTTGGCAGTGATCATTTACCGCCGAACAATCTTCAATAACGGAGCAATCCTGGCCTTACGACTCAATCCAACGCGGTAGGGTACCTTCCCCATGGAGATTGGACTGTGTTTGCCGGGCCCTTTGTTCGCACCCTTGCCTGAAGCATCTGTATCCGCGGCCCCAGGAGCCGTAGAGGGTGTTTTCGGCTCCGAATCAGACTTCTTGGGTGTCTCGGGCGGGCTCTCATTTGTTGTCAACACGGGTGTTGTTTCAGAATGAATATTCTCTGAACCAGCCTGTAGATCGTGAGATACACTAAGTATATCTGAATCATCGACGGTATTTTTGTTGACAGTTGTATTTGTGGTATTGTCGACCTTGACTGAGACAATCTGTTGATCTTGTTCGACATGGGTGTCCGACGGTTTCTCTATCTTATCTTTTGATTCTCCCTCGATCACCGGATCGGAGGTTTTCTTCCGCTTGCGTCCGCGTTTCTTAGGTTGCGGGGCTGGATCAGGTTGTACTGTTATATTGTCTGATGGTGTTTGGCCGTTATTTGTAGGGACGGTAGGGTGTGATACTTCGCTGTTTACGGTATGGGGAATGACGGGGTTTGGTGGTGTATCGTCGATCCATATTACGTCGTCTTCGACGTCTGGGTCATAGGTTTTGTGGAGTGTTACGGAGGTGGTTTTGCCGCGTTTTAGTTTCTTCTTTTTGGGTTCTTTGGGTGCTGATTCTGGAGTTTGTAAAGTTTCTGTGGGTGCTTGTTGTGGTGGGGATTGTTGTTTGGGTATCTCGATGTGGAAGTTGGTGGTTTCTGTGGTGTTATTTTGGGGTATATCGGTTGGAAGAGTAGGGAGATCTGGCTCAGTCGGATGGACTTGTGGTTCTGGTATTATGGTTGTAGGGTCAGGGAGGGTAGATTGATCATCAGTGTTCGAAAAGTCATTGCGCTCTGCGTCAGGCTTTGGATTCTTTGGTGGCCGGCCTGGCTTGCGCTTCTCGGGTTTAGTATTATTTGCTTCGCTAGTGTCCCGATTAACCGCACGTGGAACGTCAGGTGTTTCGACAGTTTCTGCTGGGTTTTGCTTCTTTGGGCGACCTCGTTTCTTTGGCTCTGCGGGTGTTTCAATAGTGATAGTAGGAGGTAGTTTGTCGAGGGGCTCTGCAGGTTGGTGCACTTCGGGGTGTGGAACTAAAATCCCGTTTGAACCTGCATTGTCACTTCGCGAGCGACTGGCTTTGGGAGACAATAATGAAGAGTTCGGTTCGGTGTCGTGCGGCGAAGAGGGCATTCCTTGCATGGAGTTCCACCTCCGGGCACCATTTTGCAGGTCGATCTGCAAGGCGTCGTCTGGTCTCAGGAAGGACATTGTATCATGATTGGAGCTTCTAGAGGGTTGTAGTGATGATTCGAAGAGATTGTATGACGCTGCGGACTGGGAGAAGTCATTGCTCAAGAGACTTTGAGGATGATGTTGTTCTGTATGTGCGATAGGTTCGTATTGGTGGGTGATTGTGTCATTTGTTTGGTACATATGCTCTGGACCAACCCCGATATTATTGTAATCTATATGCTGTGGACCATTGACATCGACAACCGGGACGAGGTGTATATCATCCATATGTGGTAAAGTAGGCTGGCAGGGTTCCGATTCAAGGGTAGTATGCGGGGGAAGGTGTCGATTGGCGTATTGAGCATCATCGTCGAGGAGGCGTTGCTGTGCGAGGCCAATCTCTGTCATCATTGACCCTACCGTGGTGTATATTGTAAGTATATGGTGGATAACTCATTGTATGCCGCCAGTGGAGAATACCGGTAGCGCAATGCTCACCTATGGACCCGCCGCCCCCCGCTTCATTCGGGATCCATCTTTCTTCTCTTCGCTGCTGGGAGGATGATAGTCTGGTTGGCGCTGTTTCCTGGGATTGAAGAAACACATCGAAATTGATTGCGATTGGGTGGTTAGGCTCCTGTACTTGAGCTGCTATGGGAACATCTGGTTCAACTGAGTTGAGAGCGTAATCGTTGTCGGCTTGATGCGTCGGGTTGGCGGGAGGTGGAAAGCCCGCTGCCAACGGATCGTCCTCGTCATCGGAGTCTTGAATTACCCGGCTGTGGGACATCGATCTAGCTTATATGCAATATTGCGGAGAAAAGCAGGAGACTGAATAGATATTGGCGGCGTATTGGCATGGGAAATTGAATGGCTTATCACGCGTCGTGGCCGATTGGGTGCGGAAATGACGCGCGGACACGTGATGATAAGGTCATGTTCATCTCTTGCTTATCGTTTGATATCAAGACTGTCAACTGGAATTGGGTATGTCTGTAAACATAAAATTCTAAATACAAAAGGTATCATGATGCAAGCATTGCAGACATATCCTCATTCCATAGTACTCTGTGGTCGCATTACTCCCCTTCCGAAGAACTCACCGATGACCCCGAAGCCATCCTTCGATCGTTGGAGCTCCCCTTTGAAAAGCTCATGCTGATCCGCTGACTCCACCTGTCTCTTGCGAATGGCTCTGATAGTAGAGTTCTGAGGAGCACAGACCGGACATTCGGCTTCCTCGTCGACCTTGTTCAGACACCGTTGGTGGAAAGAATGCTTGCAGAGGAAGTGAACCGTAGGAAGGTCCAGGACTCCACCGCAAGACTTAAGTGCACAGCGGCGAGCTTGAAAAACAACTGGTTTGCTACCTAATTGTTCAAGCTCCTTCCTCTTATTTTCGGTTTCTGTACTGTAGCTGGAAATCAAACGACGATTCTGCAAAATTCATTAGTTCACGGCTTGGTTATCCTTAGGGCGGGGCACCAACAGTCGATATCTCTTTCCGTTCTCGCTCGATGTTATCGCTCAGATACTTCTTCACCCGGCCCATAGTGACCACTGCGTTGTTGCTGAGCGCCTGGATGACTTGGAGCGGCGACATGAGCCCCTCGTCGTTAATGCGTTTGAGAACAACATCTAACTCCTCGCCTGCCTCTTCGAGAATCTTCGGGCTTGAAGCAAAATAGGTTAAAGCATCAACGTATAGTTGGGGCTCTTCTGGGCCATATTTCTTCAACGCTTGAATGGCTCCGCGTGTATCTTTTGCGGACGTGAATGAGCGGAAAATGTCAGAACGAAGACCTTCCTGCTCCCGCACTAGAGTCGATCCCTCCCGAAAGCCCGAAAGATCTGAGAGCAACAAGACGCTGGATGTGGAGATCGGGATCTAGAGAAACATTAGTCACGCTACTAATGAGCAAGCCGTGTATAATAGGTTCATACATCCTTGCCCTCGATGAGTTTCTTGGCTTTAGTCTCCCATTCATCCTTCTCGGTCGTGGCTTTCTTGCGAGATGCTGTATCTAGGTACATCTCGAATAGCGTCGTATAAAGGTCCACTTTGTCTTCTTCTTTCAGGCTTTCTTGACTGATAAGGGCCTCAAGGAATGTAATAAACTCTTGAGGATGGCCCACAAAAGCAGAGAAGGCAGTTCGGGGCTTGGGGATTTGGTAAACTGGGGTATCATCTGCTACCTTGTCCTCTACTTCGGGTGAAGGCTCAGCGGCTTCCGTCTTTGTGCCTGCGCTAGAGTTCATCAAAGGGAGAGGAAGGAAAGCCGCCAGGCTTTGTAGTGTGCTAGTCGACTGCGCCTGTGGCTCGGGTGGATTCTGAACCTCCGTGATGGGCTTGTACTTTCCCTTGTAGTATTCGATAAAAAGATCGGTTGTTCTCTGTGGGCAATTGGAGAGGAGAACACGAGCATACTTCATAAGGTTAAAGTAGGCCTTGAAATAGTTAGTATCATGTTGTGGAACCCTGCTAATGGCTAGTACAGACCAGTTCAGGGTCAAGCCTCCAGATATATTCCACAGCCTCTGCGTACTTCTTCGAGTCCTCAATCAATATATCAACAACCATGTCGTTTTCGCCGTACTTTGTAGCCAAGTAAGCGGCTTGCTCATAGTAGCCGCCCTGACGGCACATAGCAATAGCTGTTTCCAAGTCGAACTTTAATTCTCCGGGGGCTTTGATGAACTCATCTAATTTGCCTGTGTCTTTGAGCTTCGCGTAGCAGTTCAATAACAGCGTCGTGTGGTCAACTGTGGCACGATCATGGTCGTGCAACTCTTCGAGGTACTCGATCAAATTGTGGATACGCTGCGTATCCAGATACTGTGTTCATACACGGTTAGTTACGAGCGTGCAGTACGCGTGTGGAGTTCCAACCTTCCGAATGACTTGTGATGGTTCTGTGTTATCAATGGCCCGGAGGTACTGCTGCATGGCTGTGTCATAGTCACCCCTCTGGTACAAGAAATCGCCATATTTACGGTAGATGGCATTCTGCTGTAGAGTATCGACACCTTTCTTCTGTGCCAAATTAATCGCCAGTATGTAGAGACTGCGCTGGTAGAGAATTTCGAGTTTTTGCTGCAGGCTCTTCTCACGATAGCGGTAGATCTTCATCAGGTTAGCATGGCCACATTATTACGAAGCGAACCTGCGTACCTTCCCGTCCGTAGTAAGAATGAACAGATCGCCCCACTCAATGAACACTTGTTTCACAGGAGACACCAGAGCCTCCGAGTGTGCAATGAACTTCAGATCCGTATCCAGCAATGTAAAGGTGGTTGTGCTGAAAATATCATTAGGCTGGCTGACATCGAAGTTCCGCAAAGTACCCGAATTTGAACTGGCGATCTTCGGAGGGCAGACTAGTGCGACATAATCCTTGAAGATGTTGATTGAGTTCTTAGGACTGTCGAAGGCGTAGCTGGGCCCGCGTCCATGCGGCCCGTAGGTGTATATCGCATCCTCTCTGGCCACAAGGACGTCACCATTGTCTTTGTCCAGAGCCATACATCCGAGAGCGCAGCCCGTGTCTTCGAGGACTCGAGCTGGTTGGCCCTGTCCCCTACCAGCGATAACCAAGGCTAATATTCGGTTCGTTGTGGAAATGTACAGGATGGATGTCGGACCACTGTGTATTTCAAGTCCAGTAATTGGTTCTTCTGATTCGAAGACAATACGTTGCCGCGCACCGCGATCATGAATTAAATCGCCACGAATGATCGCCACGGAACCATTGGCGAACCCCACGGCGACCTGCGACAGGTCGGGAACGGCCGCAAACGCAGATATCTGCCCAATAAGTACTTAGCAAGAGTTCAGGCACCACCGAGAGCGAACTAACGTACGGGGAATGGTCTTCTAGCATTCTGCACCGGGGTCGTTGATAAGCACTTAGGGTCTCCCGTTTTCTTCTCCGTCTTATCCAGAGCCCAGACTTTCAAAGCTGGTTCATTTGAGGCATCATCTGCGATTGTCACAAGGAGTGATGTTCCTTCTATCTGTTTGATATGCGTGATAGGGCCGCCCTCGGATGCGTTAAAAGATCGGACGAGCTTGAAGGAGGGCGAGATGAGGTGGACGAAGCCATCGGTGGATCCAAGAAAGAGATTCGATGAGCCGGTACAAAGGGAAGAAATGTCGGACTAATTCCGAGAATATTAGATTAGTATGCCCACATAGTGGTGAGGTGGTAGTAAGTCCGTACACTGAATATCGATGAGCTCTCCTCAGGTAGCTTGACGGAAGAAACGTCGAAGAAGTTGAAGGCTTTCCACTGTGACACGGCGTGTTAGCAAGTACACTTGCGACAGATATCAACAGAAGCCTTACTGATGTTAGAGCCATTTGTACGTGGCCCACACCATGGACCGATAACAATAAGCTGGAGAAGGTTAGATTGACGGAATACGTTGTTCAGGTCCGGAGGTGTATGATTGCCTAGACCGAAAAGGGACAGCTCCGCCCGCACTAGTTTTATCAGATCAGGAGACAACTACAACAACAACAACAGCAATCGAAGATGGTTCTATAGATTCATTGGAACTTCTTTAATCATCCCTACATATCAATTGAAGTACTGAGAGGTAGGAAAGACTAAGTTTGATAATTCACAGTTAAAACATTTTTCATCTTCTCTTTAGACCAATTAGACTAAGTAGTCATCGCCTTATGTCTGAGGAGGGCCCTTGCAGTTCTACAGTACCACGGGAAACTGATGCTCATTAATAGTAATAGAGATACCAATCAGGGATAGAATTTCAAAGAACCAAAGAGCATTCAAGATTGCAATTCCCTGTACTCTGAGTAGATATCGAGTGTGTCTTCCCCACACTGGGGAGCATTACATCACTTGAGCCCACGCCGGCAGGAGCTGCTCCGAAGCTGGCTGTTTAGTAGTGACAAGGGCATGTCATCATCCGATCACCTCCAGCCTCCTCTTTCTCCTTCTTGCATTCTTTCTCTTCCTTCCATTAATCTCACCCCAATTGCTTCATTTTCGCATAATACATCCTCTGCCACCGATCCTTATCGTCCTAAAACAATTAAAAATGGTTTTCGCTCGTGCTAATCTCCTTCGCGCATCTGTTCGCGCTGTCGGAGCTGCATCTCGTAGACCTGCGCAGCAATTCGCTCGCCGCACATACGCCTCTGAATCATCACACGGTGTCCAGAAATCCAGCGACCTGCCATGGTAAGCCACGATAACAGTCCTCTTTGTTCCTTGCAACATGCGCGATGCATCACATCAGGTTGCAATGCAAATGCTAATACCAATTGAATGCAGGTTGCTGGGATCGGTCGGCTTGGGAGTACCGGCTGCCTATTACTTGCTCTCCTCCGGTCCTGAAAAGAAACCCCACGGCGGCCACGGAGACCACCATGAAGCCGTGAAAGAAACGGAGAAGAAGGAGGAACAGGCCCCCGCGGGAGAATCCGAGGCTCAGCCCGATCGGGATGCGGAGCAGAAGGTCGACACCGAGGCTTCTTCGTCCTCATCTAGCGAGAAAGGTGGATCATTTGGAGAGCCGCCATCTAATGTTGACGAGGTAAGGTCTATCCCGTTTATCGTGCGCCTGATAAGATTTGGGCTCGTGATTATGTTCAATGTGGTTAGTCTGACTATTTTGGTGATAGGCTACTGCCCGCGGGGGAACCGGAGGACCAGCCACTATCTCCGGCAAGCAGGAGGGCGTCTCCAATGCCGACACTTCTAACCCGTATGTGAATGAGCCGGGAAAGAGCGAGAAGGGCGAGGGAGAAACGGAGACGGCTAA